AAAAATAATTTTCTTTTAAAATGGTCTTATGGTTTTTTGAAAGATTTTTAATTTTTAAAGGTTAGAAGCTGAACTTGAAACTGTTGATTTTGTAGTAGATTTTTAACCGTACTTTTGAATTTAATAATTTTATTTTTTTGGCCACGAATTTAATCATTTTTGTTAATGTGATATAATCTCTCACTTTATCATGATTATTTTATATTAATTTTATTCAACTTTTCTACTCCTCTATTCAACTTTAATATATCTAATATTTAATTTGAGACATTTAAATTTAGTTATCTATTATCTTTTTAGAACATTATTTAATATGTTTATTTTTATTTTATTTTTATTTAAAAAATATAATTATAATTCATACAGTACTAAATAAGAAGGCTTATTTAAGTTATAATTAATTAAAAATAAATATAAAATTTTATTAATTAATTATTATATCCTTATTTTATTAAAAAACTAAATTTAATAAAATTAAATGCAGTTAGTACAAAAGATTATTTATCAATTTTTTCTTTATGGTCACGAGTTTTCGAGAAAATTTGTTGAACTAATTTTTCTATCCTAACAATCTTAAGTAATTTTAAGGGTGCAAAACCTCACATCACCCTGTTACATCTAAGAAAATTAAATTTTGTTATGTGTGGCCACAAAATATAAAAATGAGATTATTCAGTACACCCGAACACTTCTCAAACTTAAATATTAAATTTAATCCATAAGATAATACTTATTTAATAACAAATCTAATCTAATTTAATTAGTTCAATCATTTTTTTATTCAAAAAAAAAGAAAAAGAAATTTAGTGTTTTATAACTTAAATTATATTAAATTATTAAACTCCAATTATTAAATAAAAGAGTCTCTCTCACAATATTAAGTCAAATCCATACAGATATTTATGAATATTTTGAATAAGTTCTGAAGAAAGTCAAGTCCCATTAATTGCCTCAAATCACAATTAAGAAACGTGCTTTATTTGCCAAATACTTAATTTCTAAAATCACAATCACAACTTGCTCAAGCCATGTGCAATGACTTTGTGGAAAGAAATTACTATAATGTGACTTAGAGCACGTTTTAAAATGTAGTACATGGATACAAAAGTCTATGGATTAGGTAGCGGAACATATGGCTGCAATTTGAGAAAGCAATTGATGTTTCAACAAACCAAATGTTTGAGTAGGGGGAGGGCAAAATTTTGGGCAGTAGGTGGGTAAGAGAATCTATGTACTTCAAAATAATAAAATTCTATTGGTTGATAAACCAAAAATGAAAATGACTTTGATTAATAGTCAACTTCGTCCTTCGCAAGATTTATTGTACGGGTCGGATCGCTTGTTTTTTTGTTTCTTACTTTCCATGATGTTGGAATTGTTTGGTTCGTTGTTAGAAACGTGTTTTTGTACTTTTTTTTTCTTTTTTTTCAGGGGAGGGTAGATCCCTACACATTACGCATTACAGATATTTTTTTTTGATTTATTAATTACACATCACAAATTACATGGTATAAAAGATACCCACACCTATTAAAAATAATATAGCTTAATTGTTATACCAGATGTCGATTCGTTGATTCCTGTACAACACGTCCTATAACTTTCATTTTTTTAATAGTATTTTATTTATTGATTTATTTATTTATGGATGTAGAATGATACTTTTTTTTAGGTCTTAAGATTTAAAATTGAAAAAATTAATTTAAAAGAATATGGGTTAAGTCATTACAACACTTGGATTAAGGCAAGAATGAATTGTGATATTCTCTTTAATTATGATGTTTATGCCACTAAGAATAATTAATAAAAAAAACTACTAGTATGCTTATAAGCTTGTAGTGTTGTAGTCAATTAATCTAAATCTAGGTAAGTAGATTTTTGTGTGATAGTTTGGAGGTGGTGAAAAAATTTTTTAACAGTAAAAAAATTTTATTATTAAAAGTACAAGGAAATACTTATTTCCTTACAAAGTTCGTATCAACAATTTTTTTTCAACCGAATATCAACCTATTGTTCTGATGATGATTAACAATTCCCGTTCAGTGTATGCTTTTGTTCAGACTCCGTTGTAAAAAGCTTATGTTGTCGTATCAGCATCAATCTGTGTAGTCAACGTCAGTAAAGTGGTCACTGATTAAGGCTGAATGGGAGGCTGCTTGATGGTTTACTAGTGATCATTAACTCAAGTTGTCTGTGTTAGGAGGATAAAGAAGAC